TGTTTTTTTTTAAACAAAATATACCTTTCCTCCTTGGGACATCCTTCCCTCCGCCGCCGCCGCCACTTCCTTGCCTTGCCGCCTCGACATTGCCGTTATTTTGAAAAATTTTTTTAGAGAGGTTGAAAGAAGATGAGCAATGAGAGTGTGAGTGATGAGAGTGTGAGTGTTTTTTTTTTAAGGTCAAGGGCAATTTTGGGAAACCAAGTGAATTTTGTGGGCTTTATGTAGTAATTTGTGGGCGATGTTTAACAAATCCCGGTTTTAAACGGGTCGACTCGAACCCAACCTGTCTTGACTTTTTTTTTTAAATATCCCTGTAATTTGTTTAACTTGTATTCTTTTTAAATAAACCTGTAATTTTTAAAAATAAACCTGTAACATTCAACAACATAAAAATATAAAATGCAAATTCAAAGCCACAAGTGCTGCTGCATAGTTTATAATATCATACAGTAATAAAAAGTTCCAAGAGTTCCAAAATACTTCCAAAGTTCCAATTGTTCCACATAGTTGGGAAATAAAGGTTTAAGCTAGGAAAAACTCAAACATGTCCAAAATACTTCATAAGAGTTCCAACAGCAACTAATTTAGAAGAAATAAACACTACAAATCAGGTTTGACTCCCCATGGCAGCTGCTGGACTTTGAGGTGCGCTCTCCGGAGGACTTGGTGTATCGGCAGCTTCATCATTCACTTTCATCGACATAATTTTTCCACAAAGATCTTCTAGTTGCGGATCCATTTAGCTACAACCAAAAGAATATATAAAAAATTAATAGCAGCCTTAAAGCATAAATAACATAGTCCAAAAAAAAACAAATAAATGTAATTATTAATATATAAACTATTTTTCATACCTTCACCAAAAGTCCAATCTCTAAGGCAAATGATAGCTTCTGCAATGGCTGGTTTCAACGAGCTTCTATAACAGTCCAAAACTCGACCACCAATACTGAAGGCAGATTCTGAAGCTACTGTTGAAATAGGAATTGCAAGGATGTCCCTTGCCATCTTTGAAAGAATTATTGGATACCTCAGCATTTGTTTTCCAATGATGTAGGATGTTTATGTTTGTTGCACCAGGAATCAAAGGCTCTTCCAAATACATTTCAAGGTCAGATTTAGTAGCAACATTTGACTTGCTAGAAGAGAAGTTATCAAAGTCTTAAAAGATGTACAAAAAAAAAAAAAAGAGATAAGCAATTAAGCATACAAAAACAGAATTTAAAAAGCATATTATTAAACAAAAAGTGAAGTTTTAGTGTGTTACCATCATAAAAGAATCTGAGGCGACATCAACATGCCCTCCATTAGGCTGTGTAGGAGAAGAACGACGCCTAGATGATGGTGATGTTGTAGAAAACTCGGTCACATAAGCACCATACAGATAATCCAACCGTTCATTGAACTTAACCAACTCATTAGTACCCTCTATTTCCCCATATAGCTTCTTAAAAGCCCACTCTACAAACTCATACTTAAATCGAGGGTCTAAAACCACAGCCACAACCATAATTATGCTAAAATTAGTCCAATATTTAGCAAACTTTTCATGCATCCTTGCTGCCATCTTATGCATGAAGTTATCAGAACTTTCAAGTTCCTCTTTCAAGAGTAAACGGATTTTCAAAACATTTGGGAAGTATACATTAGCGGTAGGATAATTTGTACCCGAAAAAAACATTTGTCACATCAAAAAAGACCTTCAAAAATCTGAATATCTTCTCTATTCTCCCCCACTCCTCATTAGTTGGACAAGGAATATAATTTGCATCAACTTTTTGGAAATGAAGAAAAGCCTTTTTGTAGTACATAACATTTTCTAACATCAAATAGGTTGAATTCCATCGAGTAGGAACATCTTGCCTCAAACCCCTACTTGAATCAAGTTCTACATGTGCCACACAAGTCAAAAAACGCTGCCTCCTAGACTGAGATCCTTTACCATACTTCACAGTTTCTTTCACCTTAATAACAACCTCATTTATCTCTTTTAAACCATCTTGTACAATCAAATTCAGAATATGTGCACAACACCTTACATGGAAATAATCACCCCCACATATCAAATCAAGTTCATTTTTAATTACATCGACAAACACATCATTAGATGAAGCAATATCAAGAGTAATACACATGATTTTCTTTTGGATACCCCAATCTTTAAGCAAATCATAACCATGGTCAGACATATGGACACCGGTGTGAGGCGGAGGCAAAAAACGAAAATTCAGAATTCTTTTTTGCAAAATCCATTGATTGTCAACAAAATGGGCAGTCAAAGACGTAATCATCTGTAGTAATTGAAGTCCAACAATCAGATTTAAGAGAAATCCTACCACGAACTACACTCAACTCCTCTTTAAATTTCTCCTTTTCCCTCTTAAACATTTTAAGAATATCAGCTTTCAAAGTATTTCGAGACACAAGTTTAACTTCAGGATTTATGTAACTAAAACACTTCCTAATAACACTATATTCAGCAAACTGAAAAGGCAAATCATGTTTCACAACAGCAATAGACAACATCTCACAAAAAAACATTATAATCAATAGCAGGAAGCCTATTCATCCTTGAACCAGAACTGCTAGAATCTATAATCATCTAACCTACATCTTTAAAGGACCTTTTTTTACATTTCTTAATGTGGCGTTTCAGATTACCAGTTCCTTGCCAACTTTCAGCATTATATGTTTGACCACATCTTTTACATTTGCAAAGGAGATTACCTTGTGCATCGGACTAACAAATTATTTGCCACAAATTCTACCGTGGCTAATAAGCATTGTTGCGACAAATTTTATCGTGGCCAATAAGCTTGTTTGCCACAAATACTATAGTGGCTAATATATTATATTTTGCATTTTTTCACCCAATTTGATCAACAAACATAGTACATATATACACATAAAACTTAGATATTTTCATTAGTAGCTTGTAAATTTACAATTTTCAAGTTTTCATCCAAAAAAATGAAAAAAAATAAATACAAATAGTCAATAAGAATACAGTATAATTGAAGCAGCAATAATCAGCAAAGCAGAAGCAATCTCCAACAAAGAGAAGCAGCAAGCGTCTAACTACAACAGTGGAAAACCCTGGAGCATCTAAAACACTTTGCTTTCTCCGACAGCACACTGCACAGCACGAACTTCTTAAATTCAGCCATCAGCCACTTTTTTCTTTCTGAGATTCTGTCATATTAAGACTAAAAATTAGCTCACTGCAATTTCTGAAGAAGCATATTTGCATATACTAAAATAAGTATGAGCCAATGTGGTTCGCCTGGGATTTTCGAATGAACCCCCGGAGATCCGAAACTTCCGGGCGTTCACCCCCGGAGATCCGAAACTTCCGGGCGTTCGTAGCCTGGAGATTCCAGATCTCCAAGCGTTCCTCAAAATCGACGGAAAAAAAAAAGTCGACTCACCTGCTCGCCGGTGACGACTGCCTTGTCTTTGCGATTTCCCGACAAATGCGCCTCCCTTGTAGCGTCGACGCCAAGATTGGGGGTTGAATTTGGTGTTAACCGGTGGTGGTGGTTGATTTTGGGGGTTGAATTTGGGTGAAAGAGAAAGGTAGGTGAAAAGGGTGAAGAGAGAGAAAGGTGGTGGTGTTGGTTTGCTTGGTGCTTTACATTAGCCGGCTGGTGGTGGTGGTGGTTTGCTTGGTGATGGTTTGATAGGTGGTGTTGGAATTGTTGTGATTTGCTTGGTGGTGGTGGTGGTTTAATAAATGGTAGTTGAATTGTGGTGAAGAGAGAGAAAGTAAAAACAAAGGTAAGAGAGAGAAAGGTTGAAGAGTAATTTTAAAAGGGATTAATTAAGGTAATTTATATAAAAATACGGGCGTTATCCAATAAATACAGGGCATGGTTATTAACCTCATACATATATTTATTGAGTAATAAGTGGAGAAAATGAAGAAAGAAAAGATGAGTGAGAGTTGCCATGAGAGAGATTAAGAAATAAAAGAAAAGTGGAATCATGTATGATGAGTCAGCAAATGAAAAACATTTGGAAGTAATTTGCTTCAATTTGAGTACCTATATACTTGACATAATTAAATTTAACCCAACACCCTATATATCTTCTTTAACCAAAGGGACTATCTTCTTATGGTCCATTTAATTTATTTGACCGAGAAATAGAAATGAGTACCCAAACAGTGAAAAAAAAAGAAGAGAGTATCTAAAAAGTGAAAAATTGAAGAAGATAGGGTTTATTTGTGTACTTAACTCAACTTTTGTATATATTAATTAATAAAAAAAATTAAATTATATTTTGAAAATATGCATAATACAATTCCAACAATACTTCGCCTATGACTTTAATTTTTATTTATAGCTAAAACCGTAAAAAGTATAATCAAATTAAAGTTAATCAACAAACATGAAACATGGGTATGTGAAACTGAGGTTGAGCTATGTGAATTATTGAGACAAGAGTCCACTTCAACTAACGTACTAATTTCAACAATTACTTTTTGGAGTTTAAACCTAATCCCTACCTTTTTAAAAGAATGAAAAAACACTTATAAATAGTGCGAGAATAATTATATTTTTAAAATGTTTGTTTACCTGCACGCCACTATTAATATCATGTTAATTACATCTAATCTTTTCCTTGTGTGATTTAATGATCTAACAATAGTTTTTTATTTACTTAATTTTCATCATTAATGTTAATTGCCCTTTTTTTTTTTTTTAAAAAAAAACTCTTAATAAAAGTGTGCGAACATTTATTCCTTTAAAATATTTTTTCTCATTAATCTTAATTGCCCTTTTTTTAAACTCTTAAAAAAAAAAAAAACTCTTAATAAAAGTGTGTTGACATTTATACCCTTTAAAATATTTTCCCTCATAAGTGTTGCCGATTACTGAAAAGGACTCTCCAAACATAGCTAGATATGGCGCGCCGTGCTGAACGTTAGCCACCCTAGTGAGCCATAAAGTTTTCTTAACTTCCTTAGTATATATGCTAATCGAAACATAGGATTAACGAAATATGCACTAATTGTATGTTTGAATCTTATCACACATTCACACTGTAAAGTGTAATCTAATTTATCTATAATAATACACGAAATTTCTATTAAAAAAGAACATGAAATTTACAATGATCTTTACTACGGAGTAGTACTGTAAATTCATAATTGTGGTGCTTTTAGGCATTAAAAGAATGCAATCAAATGAGGAAATAACAAAATGAAACTACTACTATTTTTTTTGGCCTACAAAAACTTTAAAAGAAACTAGACAATTAATGTTCAACATTTTGGAAGATCAGCTGGTGGAGGTGGCAATTTTTGGTGCTTCTTCTTTCCATCTTGAACAATCCATGCCATCTTCAATCCCCAACTCGTGTGTACTTCCAAGTGACAATGCATAAACCACACCCCTATTTGCAATCATAAGTCAGTATACATTTTAAAAATAGATATATTTTGTACGAGTACATAAAAATCATGCTACTAGTATTTATAGGTTTATGGAACATTTTTAAAGTATTTATTTTATTTACCTGGATTATCTGCCCGAAATCTGATAGCAACCCAACCACCAGAAGGTACACCAACTGTATTTCTTTCAATAGGATCAACGAGATTAAACTTTGCAGGATCTTTCTTGGAATCAAAGTTGCCAAATCCTTGACCAACGACGAAGAAGTTGAAGCCATGTAGGTGAAGAGGGTGACTCTCAGCCCCAATAATGCTGGTGTCCTGCAACAGTAGCTCGACATTTGTATTGTATGGTAAGGACATCAATCTAGTCCCTTTGTTTAGCATAATATTGGTTGGAGGAGTACCGGTGTAATTAAATCGAGTGGGTGGCTTTGTTGGGAAATTAGAGGTATACACCCCATTTGACTGTCTTAAGAAATGAGCCTGAAGTAAAGCAGTCTTAGGTTGTACAAAAGAGATGTTGTTGATTGCCGCGCCTACCATGGTGTTGTTAGGCCCTGAGCAGTTTTGGTTCTTAGAGCAGGGGAGTAATCCAAGGCCAACAGTGAAGAAGAAATGTCTGTCAATCTTTTTCGGAACATTTGCTGGGAACTTAGAGTTTGCAAGACTTCTCAATTTGTTTGTAAATTTCGCTGCAAATGATGTGTCATTGAAGAATGGAAGCTTAGGTTTGATTAGAGGAAGTTTAGTGGCTTTAGGCTTACGAGAAGGATCATGATGAGCATACTCAAGGATGGCGGCGGTAGTTGTATTGTCAAAAGTTGCAGGTCCAGTGGCATAAGGCCGGGCTGCCATAAGGAACAAGGCATTAGGATGATGCCTTTTCGCTCTAAGTAAGACATTTGTAGTTTGTCCAGGGGTGATCAGGATGGTGTTGGCCTTAAAGGGCTTGGTATAAATGGCATCTGCTTCGACAACTGTGAGTGTATGGTTGGCGATGCTAAAAAAGAGCTCGTTGTTGAGTGCAGCATTGACAAGGCGAAGAAGGTAAGTCTTGCCTGGCTTCACCTTGAGCTTGAATGTATCTACAGCAGTGTTTAGTAGCGCGATTGATTAGATGTGAGGGACTGCTAGAAAGTCATAGCAATTAGTTATATGTATAGTCTAGATTATATGTTACCTTTAACTGAGCAACTGTATAAGGGACCAGGAAGACCATTGATGGTAAAGGCATCTGAAAGATTAGGGGCTGATCCTGTTTTCATTGCTTGGTTTATCACTGCCTCTGTGTCTGCTTTCCACCATTCCCCTGTTTTATGATTTAAAATACATTAGTTTTACATAAAAAATCATTAATCAGATAAATAAGTTTTGATTTGTAAAAAAAAAATTAAGATCCATGAGTAATAATCAGAACTTTTTTGTAAAAGTTTACAAAAAAGACCATGTTATCTATGATTATGGTCTTATTGTAATGGACTCTCAAGAAATTTGGAGTTAATAATTCATTTTTGTTACTTTCTTTGTAGTATACGAAAACTTACCGAAAACGATGGGAACTTCCTTAAAGGGGTGAGGAAATGGATATGGAACGCCACGTTTTGGTAAAATGACAAGAGGACCATAAAGGGTAGCCCTAAGCCATGAAATGTGAGCATGCCAAAATAAGGTTCCTCTTTGTCCTTTGATTGTGTACTTGTAAACATAGCTTTGTCCAGGTTGAATTGGGCATTGTGTGATGTATGCTGGACCATCAGCCCATCCGCTCCTTAGCTGTCGAATTCCATGCCTATTTTCACAAATTTTTAATTATATTCATTATTCATCCAATCTGATACGAGATTTATATAAGTTTCGAGATTATATTTCTTTTAACTACTTACCAATGAATAGTAACGTTGTATTTGACATGATTAACAACCTTAATTTCAAGGCTGTCACCTTCCCTTGCAATAATTCTAGGCCCAGGGAATTGTCCGTTTATAGTTACTATGCTCTTTGTTTGGCATAGCCTTGTCACATTTTGCATCCTTACCTATAAGAAGAAAAAAAAAATGCATCAATATAAAAATTCAAGCAAAACCATAGTGAAAATTCTTATAATCTTCATGGCGCCCTTGAAAAATCTCTATCTTATTAGTAATAAATTTTACTTAATTTTTTCATTAAGCTTTGTTATAAAACATATTAAGCATTGTATATATAGATAACCTCATTAGTCGAATATAAATATTAAAATAAAAGGACGTGTTCCTTATCCAAGTACCCTAAGAGAAAAGAAACACGACAAAGAAACCTAGGTACGTACCTCAAACTTGTAACGTCTAGTTATGCCTCGATGCTTAGCAAGAGCAAGTTGAGGGCCAAGCCAGGATGCACACACTAATAGGAATAGTATAGTGTATAAACAAGCTGATGAATGAAAAGAGCAAATAAACCCCATATCGTTTCTTTTTTTTTTTTTTTTTTTTTTTTTTTTTTTTTTATTTGTCAAAAAGATTGTTGCCTAGGCAGTCAATTAACTTTGTTTGTAAGAGGTTTTTTTGTATTGAATGAGTAATGAAAATGAGAGAAAATGAAGTGGTTTATATAATGATATAACTAAGTAGCATAAACCTTTAAGTTGGTTACTTCAGGAGAAAGATTAAGTAGACTTTTATTAATTAAATTAGGTGATTACAAGAAAACATATGCAAGTTATATAAACTGTATAGATTGAAACTTCCGACCAAACAAACCATTAAAATCACCAGATTATTGTTGAGTTTTTAGTTTAGTAAGATGTCTAAGTCATACTGTCTTTTGATTTTGATACTAATCTCCTAATTTTGAAGGAAATATTTTATTAATTAAGATTTTACTAATTGCTTTTCACTTTTTGCACATTGAAGGAAAGAAACTTTTGATAGTTAGAGTAGATTAAAAAGTGACCAATTATCTAACTTTATAATTTTATGAAGTGCTTTGTGATTAACTATATGACGGCTATATTCTACAAAACCAGAATATATGGTTGTTTATTTTATTAATTATAATCTTCTAGCTCGTCATTTAATTTGCATTTCAACGTGTCTCACAATTGTTTATGTAAATTATAGAATAAGCAAGTACGTTTGTCACGTCAAATTATTTGGTGAACAAGTTATACTCCATAATAATTATTTGATGAATTTGTTCGGTAAAATTATTGTATTGTGTAGTATTTTACGTTCATAACTACGTTTATGGGGTAAAGGTGTTATATAAGTTCAACATTAAATAAAAATTGTGCACGTAAGTAATTTAAGTGTTGTAATAAAACAATCTCTTACCACACTACAATTTTTCCCTCACTAACAAGCAATATACAAGTATTAATAACAAAAAGAAATATACTTCGTACAAGGTATTAGATGGATCAATTGTTTGGTGAAAGTACAAATACATGACATATCATGTCATAAATTTAAAACCTAAGAATAATTGACTCAGTTGGTAAACCAGACCAGTATCCTAAAGGTTACAAGGTTCAAATTTGTCAAGTTAAGATGATTAGAGTTAGACTGATCATAAGCAACATGGGCGACTAGCTCGACTTGAAATTTGCTCATAATTTTTTGTCCGAATTTCGGGCTTAGGCTAACCCATCCCAATTTTATTTCATTGTTCTGGTTTTGGACAATTAAAATTTAACTTTAAGATATAAATTTGGCCCGACCTAGAAATAGTCTAAAAATCCTCATATTTTCCCTAAAATAGCAGGTTGGAGTACAGATTTAGCCCGAAGCTTTGGTCCAAATGAGCCAGCTTTTTTTTGCCAAGGCCCGACTTGGCCCATGTCCAAATCTGCCCCCTTCCATTTAAAACTGTTAGTTTGAACAAAATTCCTAGCGTTAAACTTTTGTACTCCCTCCGTTTCGTATTAATTACAACACTAGGTCTTGCACAAAGTAATAGGAAATTTATAAGGTAGAGATCATAGGGTGAATTTTATAATATAAAGTATAGTAAGTGGGTATATATTTTATTGTTAATAGAAAAGAGAAATAATAAAAAAAAGTAGTATAAGTGGGATTTGTAAGAGAGAGAAATAATTAAATATTTATACAAGTGGGTTAAGTGGGAGAGAGAAATAATAAAATAGTAGTGGGTCCTTACTAAAATAGGAAGTGTTGCAACTATTATAAAACGGATGTAAAAAAATAAAGTATTGCGATTATACAAAACGGAGGGAGTAACATTTTTCTCTTCCTTTTCCCGTCTTTTTATTTTCTCTTCATCAATGCTCTCCTTTATGTTGATTAGTATCAGGACTACTATGCCTTTTTTTTTTTGAAACTATGACTACTATGCACTTTTTTTTACCATATTCCTTTAAATTATTTGCTCCCTCATTTAGTCCTTTCCCCACGCTCCTTAGGGATCAAGGGGCATTTCCAGACATATTACTCAAAAGAATCACCACAATACTCCTTCATAATGTCTTGCAACAATAGCTTAAAATTAAAATCCTCAAGGTTATAATTGCTTGGTTTAACTCCTTAACAAAAAATCCTTTCAGAGAGTCATAGTATCTATCTAGGAGAAAATTGTTTCCTTGATCTTGTCTTTGAAATTAGTCATTTTAGAGAGTCGTAGTATCTGTAGGAGTTGTATTGGTGGTAATATAATGCAAATCAAAAGCTTTTCTCATGAGCAATTGAGTGAGCAATAGCTCCTCCCTTAATCGAAGTTAGCGCAGCAAGAGCGAGCTATAACTCCTAAGGGAGTAACGATAGCTCGATGCTCGCATTGTTGCGGCAAGATTGAGCTATAGCTCACAAGTGAGCAAGCGACAGTTCAGTTGCACACATGGTTGCGGCAAGGCCGAGCTATATAGCTCGTAGACGAGAGAGTGACATGCTTATGTGCTGTCGCAAGCGAGCGAGAAATAGTGCTCATCCGTGCGGATAGGAGGGGAAAATGTTAATTTGTTACCTTTTCTTGACTACTATATGTACTCTCTTAAGTCCCCATATGCTAGATATGAAAAAAGATTGAAACCCTAAACACTTCAAACACAAACCAACCTTTGAGATCTGAGCAGTTCTTGTAGCAATTCCATCCTTCGGGTACTTGAATTACGGAGGAAGTTGTGTAAACATTAGGGGTGTGCATTGTTTAGGGTAAAAGTTACGCTAGACGCATGGACCAAACAGAGCGTGACACTGTAGACACCTAAAAATGTCTCCTCGACCAAAGCCTGATGAAGAAATAACCTTCATTGCCTAAATTGGTCTGGTTTGCGTGATGGATCTAAGAATTACTTGAATAGACCTTTTGTTCTAGCCCACTATTATTTTTTAAGCCATTTTAGCTATTTCATCAACCCAAACCCCTTTTTTTAGCCCAAAATCCATAAACTTTAACCCAATTTCCTCTTTTCATAATTGCAGCCCAAAATCGAGCAAGTCTGATTTTCGTGCATCATAATTTTTATCTAAATTTTAAATGGTTGGATAGATCTTGAAATAAGCTTTCCAATGATATATCAAAATCCCAATTCCGAGTTATAACGAAAAAAAATATGATCAAAATATCAAACTATAAAAAACTGACTTCGTCCCACTATTTCGGCCATATCTTTTTTCTACAAAAGATATCAATCTGATTCTAATTGGGTAAGAAAGTAGACTTCCAGATCTTTTCCAATGGTATATTATTTATATTATTCCAACTTATGGCTCAAAAGTTATGATAAAAAAACTACAAAACTGCTGACCCGCGTGACGCATTTCTTAAATTCTATGTTTTCTTAAAATTCTATCTTCACTCGTTTCTAAGCCTTCAAATACCACCATCTTTTCTAATTTTTAGGAGGCGATTTTGAAATCCCGAGAACTATATTTCCTCCCACATTTCCCAAAAGGCTTAGACGTAAAGTTTTGACATACAATTTCTAATCATATACAAGTAATTCAAAGACCAAAACAAGATCCGAAGGTTCTACCTTTTTTACTAAGGAGTGAAGGTATAATCCCGAGGGTGAAATCAATTTTTCTAACTTTTTAATTTAATTCTTTCAATTTAATTTCTATTTTTATTGAAGTTACTAACAATTTATTTATGATGTAGCAATTTAAAGGAGCACGCGTAATGTGAGTGATTAATTAATTTAATTACTTATTTTGTTTATATTACTAGTATCATGTTTAGGTTTATTGTTATATTTTTGATTATTTGATTAACGATATTATGGTTAAATTGCTTCCAATATTAATGTTTATTCTATTATTTTGTTGATTATCATATTGCATGTTAAAAGGAATATGTAATTGAAAATCACGACTAATAAAATAATTTGGACGACCAGTTTAGGTTCCTTTTTAATCTTGTTATTAATTGAAGTGGTCACCAAAATTTTAGAATTATGTGTGCATTAATATTCAACCAATTTAGCCTAATTTAGTTTGTAGCAAATTGAATCTTTGTTTGTGTGCTTTTGAGATCGCAGGAAATACTTTTTGCTATAAGAATCGAGTAGAGGCCAATACAGGCGAATGTGACTCTATGACTCACTTCGTACCATACATCATCCCCGATCCTCCTTTCGTGGTTCCGAACCATATGGAGTTAGTAATCTCATGGATTATGAATGGGGTGTAACCTTCACGCCTCAATCATTGTTGCCTATCGTTGTCCCTTATTCGTGGTTGCCTTAAACGATCCGTGAACGGTTTACAAGTTCCTTAAAAACTTGTTGGCGGCTCCCTACTTTCCTTGTCCCTAATCATATAATTTTAATTCCCACTTTCTATGATTGCCAAGCATATTCGCACATGCTTAAGTAGGCGCGTTTTGAACGACGCCTACAGACACATGTCACCCTAAGCTACGCTCAAAATGAGCCATTTAGGATAAGACATGTGACACCCCCATCGTTGGGAAAATGATGGCCTTCAGGCCCAAATCCCGAGGCGCCAAAAAACGGTGCGACCTATCTACTTAGGTTAAATGACCTAAGGAAGGGCACACACTCCCACATGCATATAAATATAGAATTTTACATTGGGAGCACAATCAAATTTCCATTATTCATTAGTTATTATTACACAATCATTTAAGAAATCCATCTTTACTTTTCATCCTTTACTTTCCGCTTTCTCCTTCATCCGGTACTAACTTAACCTTCGAAGGCGGAACTCCGAACAAATGGAGCTTCCGTTTGTGCAGGTACAAGACGTGCGGCAGACCAGTCTTGGAGTTGCAACTCTTCTTTTGGACACAGCAAAAAACCCCTAAAACATTTGGCGCCGTCTATAGGGAGAGTACCTCTAAGATGGATAACGAAGATGGATAACAAACGGAGCCGACTACTCACATCACACGTTCCGAATTCATGGAATTCATGGAGAACTTTAAAGGAGAGATCAAAAGTATGATGAGAAGCAACTCTCATTAGTAGAATGGGCCAAGCAAGAGCCAGCCGACTAAGAAGCCGACTCCAACTGAGCAGTTGAAGGCCACAAAAGACAAAGATCCCACTCCTCTCCCAAGCGGCATGAGGGGGGAAACCCAGTCATTAAATGGACCAAAATTCGTGTTCCAAGGACACCCCAAAGGAAGCCCATCCGGCATGAAGAGCCAGATGGCACCAAAAAACTTTCAACGACGCTCGACAATTCATTGAG